GTGGTCTTGAAGCGCCTGTGGAAGTGAGGATCTTCGTTTTCCTTCCAGCCCACTGGTACGTAGTGCTGATGTTCGTGAGGCGGGCTTTCCCGCGGTGTGATTGGAAGGTTCCAGTCCTGCTCGTCTTCGTCGTGCAGGTAGTAGTGATCCTCGGTGAAGGGATTATTCCGTCCCTCTTCTGGTTCCAGTAATCTTCCTTGGACTTCGTTCTCCTCGTCAGGTTCACTGGTACGTCGGCGTCGTGTTGTCATATTTGCAATGACGTTCCTGGGAGCTCCTGACTGTGGTCCTTGATTTTGTTGGTGTTGCGCAGGAGGACGAGCTTGCTGAGATTGAGGATGACGAGCGTCTTGTCGGCCGACCCAGTTGTTGTGGTGAGTGGAGTTTGGGTGGTGGTAGTTGGATCGGGATTTGCATCGATCCGTTGAGTGTCCGAAAACTTTACATATTTTGCAGTAATGGCGCCTTGGCTGTCGTCGCTCTTCTCGGTTGTCCGTGTAGAAGGCGAGGCGCTCTCGGCGCGGCGCAGAGCTTGTTCTGCTTGAGTCCATATCTTGCTGTTCGGACAGGAGTGCGGCGCATAGCGCGGCTTCTGAAATTGTTCCTCGCTGTCGGAGTAACGCCTTGCAGGGCTTCCACTCAGGCCCGAGTCCTTGAAGGACTATATTGACGAAGATCTCTTCTGAGATCGTACTCCCATGCTTCGTGATCGGGTCACGGATGTTGCGACAGCGGTTAATGTATGGATTTGCCTTCTCCCCGTGCCCCATCTTTATCTCCAGGAGTTGCTGGAGAAGCCTGCTGGAGGTGACCGAATCCTTCGGCTGGTAAACTTCAACTAGGTGCTTCCAGGCTTCCATTGCTGGAGCGTTGCTCTCTTTGTAGGAGCGTATGTTGAGTTGTTCCGCAGGCGTCATGTTGCGTAGTAGTACGCTGTAGGCCATGAGGGACTCACTGTAGTACTGAGCCCTGGCGATGTCGGTGTTTTCCACCGGTTTAGAGTAAGAGCCGTCGAAGTAATGGTAGATCTGCGCCGTTTGTAGGAGGAGCTCCAGCTCAAAACTCCATGTGTAAAAATCCTTGCCGTCGAACGCGGCAGTAGTCTTAATTTTTGAAACGCTGAGAAAGCGTGTTTGCGCAGAGTTGATAGCCTCATCACTTGGACGGGGGGCAGTTGTTGCTGATTTGTTTGTGTCGAGGGAGAAGGTGTGCGCGGCGGTATCACGGCTTTTCTTAGCCGGTTGTCTAGGTTGTGCTGGTTGGGAAGAGATTCCCGCATCGCCTTTGCGCAGTTCTTGGAGTTCTTTTTCCATAGTTGAAAGTCGAGCAAAAAGTTGCTCGAGGGCGGCAGTGCCGATCGTGGTTGTCGCCTCACTTGTCGCAGCTGGGTTGGGTTGTCCTTCAGCCGTCAGATTTGCTTGGCCTCCGGATCCTCCGGCCATCTTGGTCTTGGAGCGTGTGCCGCTCGCCAGGTTTTGATTCGGCGAATTTTACGGAAGTGAGGTTGCGAAGATTGTCAGAATGTTATTCTTATGTTCTAGCCTGTAGTGGGGTGCTCTATAGCGAGTACAACCCTTCTAGGGTTTGCTATTTGTATCCCCATTTCTGCTAGTTCAATCCTCTTTCTTTCTTCTAATTTTGACATGCTATCAGAGCAGGTCGATCCCCTTGGATCGAACCTGTGGGTGGGTTACCACCTCGCTTCCGCTGCTACCTTTCCTCCCCGCCGTGCGCCCCGAGGCGCGCGGCGGTTTTCCTTCCCGCCGTGCGCCCCGAGGCGCGCGGCGGTTTTCTGCCCGCCGTGCGCCCCGTGGCGCGCGGCGGCTCTCTGCCCGCTGTGCGCCCCGAGGCGCGCGGCGGGCGTCTGCCCTACGTCGCGGCCCCGCCCCGACCGTCGCGGCCCCGCCCTCGTCCCGGCCCCGCCCTACGTCGCGGCCCCGCCCTACGTCGCGGCCCCGCCCCGACCGTCGCGGCCCCGCTCTCGTCGCGGCCCCGCCCTACGTCGCGGCCCCGCCCTGCGTCGCGGCCCCGCCCCTCGAAGCGGCCCCGCCCTACGTCGCGGCCCCGCCCCGACCGTCGCGGCCCCGCCCTACGTCCCGGCCCCGCCCTGCGTCGCGGCCCCGCCCCTCGAAGCGGCCCCGCCCTACGTCGCGGCCCCGCCCCGACCGTCGCGGCCCCGCCCTACGTCGCGGCCCCGCCCTGCGTCGCGGCCCCGCCCCTCGAAACGGCCCCGCCCTACGTCGCGGCCCCGCCCCGACCGTCGCGGCCCCGCCCTCGTCGCGGCCCCGCCCTACGTCGCGGCCCCGCCCCGGACCCTTCGCGGCCCCGCCCTACCTTCGCGTCCCCGCCCTACGTTGCGGCCCCGCCGCCGACCTGTCGCGGCCCCGCCCTGCGTCGCCGCCCCGCCCCCTTGTCGCGGCCCTGCCCTTCAACCAGGCCCGTGGTGGGCCCCTTTCACCACACCCCCCCCCCCCCCCCCCTCCCCCCCCCTCCCCCCCCACCCCCCATCTCCCGTCGCCCGTCGCGGCTCCTTCGGGGGCCGCTGTGGGGTGGCGGGTATGGGGGTGGCCGGTGTGCCTTCCTCCCTTTGCTCCTCCTCCTCCTTCGTCTCCCACTGCTGCAGCTGTCGCTGAGGGGGGTGGTTGTGTGGGAGACTCGGGTTTAGGGTTTAAGGGGGGTGCGTGGGAGTGGAGCTAGGGGTGTATCAGCGGGTGTGTGTTGGGGGAGTTGGATAGTTAGGGAAGCTGCATGGAGGTTGCCGTCGTGTCGTCAGCAGCACCTGTATTCCGGGGGCTTCGCCCGGTAGCCCAGTCGTAGCCAGCTGTGCCAGCCGCCCGTGGGTCCGTTGCTCGTCTGCCGCTACTTTAGCCGCGGGGCCAGTTACTCCAGTAGTCCGGGGGCTTCGCCCGGTAGCCGCTGTGCCAGTGTGCCTCCTGTTGCCCGTGTGTCTGCAGCTTCAGCCGTCGCCTCCCAACTCCTCTCGCTCTCACTCCTCCTCCTCACTTGCCCGTTGTGACCACCACTAGCTTTGCTGATAATTGTGCACTTGAACTATTGCTTCTTGAACTTGTGCTCAGAATGTGTGGTGACATTGTGATCCACCCTGAGCTTGTACTGCTTTGCCTGCTCTGCTGATTACACCCCACTTTGGCTATGGGGGTGTGTCAGAATGTTATTCTTATGTTCTAGCCTGTAGTGGGGTGCTCTATAGCGAGTACAACCCTTCTAGGGTTTGCTATTTGTATCCCCATTTCTGCTAGTTCAATCCTCTTTCTTTCTTCAAACTTTCACAAAGATTCCCTGAGTAGCTCTCATACCATGTTACAATCCCAAGTGGGACTTAGCAAAGGATCGCTCAGGGTTGATCAGAGAGTGGTATTGCAGCGGAAGTTTAGACCTCAGGTCAGAGTGAATGTAAATGACTGAGATGATAATAACATGCATACATCGGGTTTATATAAGAGTACAAGGGAATACGAAAGGACCTAGGCTAGCCATGTACTCTAAGGGGTACATTCCCTTATTGTGACTGGATTCAAAAGAAAAACCGTGCGTCGCGGGAATCCGTTCACAACCTGTTCCCGCTCTTTTCACTTTAACTGTTTCTGTCTGCATCGGTCTTGGTCTGACAGTTGCTGTGTCGCTTCGGCTCTTCGGACTCCTCAACTTCGTACTCGGTAGAGTCGGCTCCTGCAACATACAGGAATGCCTTGACATCGTAACACGTACCATATCAATCACAGTTGCAGCATTGATGCAATTAGCATTTGCTTCAAAGCAAATGTATAAAAAATTGTCTTCTGTTTTTGTAATCGTTTTTCTGTTATTTATGTATTATCGTCTGTGCTTGTTTCGAGGGTGTAGTGCTAAATGTATCATGTATGCAACTGGGATTGTGATCGTCGGTGGGGCAGCTTCGCTCGCCTCTTCCGTACCATATCAGTCTCAATTGTTGCATTGATGCATTTAATATTCCCTTCAAAACATGTACGACGATACTTGTACACCAACGTTTTTGTGGTCATTTATGTACGAGTGTCTCTCGGTGGTACTACAGTTTTTTTTTTTTTTGTCCATTGTGTTCGTGTGTCATTGGGTATCATCTTTAGTGCTAGAACGATTCTCCAATTGTTCCATTCGCCGTACTTATCGACGATTATGGAATGATTGGAACATTTGTTTTCATTTTTTTGGGGAAGCTATGTGAACAATGATTTCTGTCAAATTTTATAAAAGAAATTCACTGTTCACATCAGCCAACCGAAAAGTGAAAACGAATGTATAAGGTTGCTACGCAACCCAAAAATGCGACTGAAATCTAGACCAACATACTAAATTAGTCTGATAACGAGAGCCTTGTATTTGTGTCTCCGATTTTACACGCCCTTAGGCAATGCCGAAGAATTCCTTACGCGTTGTTGTGTGTGCCTTGCAACTTGGGACACGGGTTGAACAGCCCTCACATGCATCTTCTGTGCATCCGATGTTGGTCTGAATTTGGTCTGCGGTTGGGCCGTGCCTGCTCCGCCTGGCCCGCCTGGTCCGTCTGGTTGGTCCGTGATCTCCACGCCAGTGGTTCTCTGTAGAGTGATCTCGTCCCAAACCAAACCAACTGCTCCTTTCCCACCGATTTCGGTCCGTGTTATCCACGGACCACTCCTCAAAAGCTGTCATCTCCATACAAAGCTAGCGGTTATCTGCCTGATTCCTTTCTTATCCACACACCTCACGCCCCCCGCGTCAGCCATTTATAATCGTACCATAGTTGATAGTTCTTTCTCTTGTCTTCTCGTACGAACACATTACCGGAGTAACTTAAGCACTGGTATTTGAGACTCATCGACTAGCCTGCAGTCTTCTGATACGTTAATTTCGAGCTACAACGTAGGTATATACGTCGTCATCAGTCTCCCACCTTGACCATCATGGAGCCATCCACGCACATCCATGACCTTCCCGACGACATTCTTACGAAGATCTTTTGGCATTTCGAGCAGCCTATGACTAAAAAAGTGGACAGCGACTGCCTATGGGACTCCCACTGCTCGAGTCTCACCCCGAAGTACCTGTCTGCAAACCTTTCACATGAGAAGGCCATTCGTGAAGAGAAGACCCCGTTACCCATTCCTCCTCCATCTGCGGACGCGCACCGTATTCTCCTCGTCGCGGCCGTCTGCCGTCGCTGGCGCGGTCTCACTCAGCGTTGCGTCTCCGCGCTTCTCGTCCGAGACAATCTCGTCGTGTCTCGCCAGGCTCTCGCGAGTGCTGTCGCTGCCTTACCGAACCTGACCCATCTTCACCTCTGCGACGGCAGCGTCGAGACTCTCGACGACGCCTTCCTCGCTCACCTCGCGTCGTCAGCTCCCAACCTCGCCATCCTCCACGTCGGAACCAGAATTGCGCCTGTGAAGTGTAAAGATTTTTATGCCGGTAAATGTGAGAAGGACGCGCAACCTATAACAACCGCTGGCCTGGACTTCTTTTTCCGGCACTGCACTCGGCTGGAGCAGCTTTCACTTTACTGCCTCGATCGTTGTGTCGAATTCCCCGCTTCCTTCTTTCAGCTGCCGCATCTGCACACTCTCGCGCTCACAAATGCTTCACCACTCGAAACTCCCGATTTCGCCAGCCTTACATCGCTCACCACCCTGCACATTGCCTCCAATCATCTCTTGGAACGAGTGGCATACATCGCTCGCCTCTCACGCGGCATCACCACCTTCTCACACTCAGAAGAAGCCGTAGCATTTCACCGTGATTCCCTGGGCCTTGCCGACTTCGACACCACGCAGCTGGCTCTGCTCAAGTCGTCAAAGTTCAGCGAGGTCGTCCCGTGTGCCGCCCTAGAGCGGCTCGAGATTGATATGGAGCATTCTGATTCCGATACGCCGACCTTTCAACTCGGAGAGCTGATGCCGAGGCTCCGCAAGCTGACCCTTCGCCAGAGACTCGGGCATTATGAACCTAGTCCAATTTTGCTCAGCTTCGCTTCTCTGCCTCTCTTGGAGAGCTTGACCGTTACTGAGCGTTACCAAAGGCACGAGGATTTTGCTTCTTACGACCTGCCAGACGATATCGGCTGCTTGCATGCCCTGAAGACCCTCGTGCTGCACAGGCTGCCACTCTTGGCCCTCCCGGGCGCCCTCCGCCACCTGCCTTCTCTCGAGACGATCGTCCTCATCGAATGCACCACCTACCCGCACTTCAAGCTGTACGAAGATTTCTGCGGCCTCACGTCACTCCAAACGCTCGCCATTGTGAAGATGCCTTCGACGAGGCTTCCGGAGAACATTGGAGAGCTCTCAAGGCTGCACACTCTGTATTTGAATGGTCAGAACCAGCAGCCGCGACTGCCGGTCTCCTTCACCCAGCTGACTTCCTTGACCAGGCTTGAACTGGCCATGTGCACGATTCAAGAGCTTCCCGAGGACTTGGGGAACCTCACTAACCTGCAGGAGTTGCACATTCGCTCCTGCCCCCGGATTCAGCGGCTTCCAGAGTCCCTCACAAGCCTCTCAAGCCTTGAAACCCTTACGGTTGATGACTGTCTGAAGCTCTTCTCGGTTCCCAGGAGGCTAGACAGCCTTGAGAAGCTTAAATGGCTGGAGCTGACTGGGTGCCCCGATCATACTGAGCCTCCTACATGCCTGCCACTCTCCCTCGAGGTCTTGAGTCTTGGGAACAGCTACCATGTGGCTGATCTGCCAGACGTCTCCGTGCTGCCTTGGCTGAGAAAGCTCTCCTTGAAGCTGGTTGGTGCGGAGGAGAGGATGGCTGTGGGCAGCAGCTTGGCGCGCGTGAAGCAGGTGGAGCTGGCGCTGCAGGAGGAGGCTGTGGAGCTGCCCTTCTCCCTTGCGCTGCTCCCCCAGCTGCACACGCTGGTCATGTGGAACGCGGGGAAGATGCAGCGGCTTCCAAGCGACATGGGATGGGCTGTGCCGCAGCTGAGGGTTCTGCAGATCCACTGTGCGCGGGAATTGAGGGAGCTGCCGGACAGCATTGCCGCTGCATCCCGCCTGCGCCAGCTGCACCTCTTTGACTGCCCCGCTCTGCACCACCTGCCCGCTTCCCTCACCCAGCTTGCGTGCCTGCACCAGCTGCATGTGGAAAAGACAGGCCTGCGCTGCCTTCCTTCAGGGTTTGCGCACTTGACCCGGCTGCGCAGTCTTAGTGTGCGTGGTTGTGCGCGGCTGGAGGGTCTGCCAGAGGATCTCACGCAGCTGAAGATGCTGCGATTATTGAGCATTGGAAATTGCAACAAGCGTGTGTGCCCTCGGCGGAACAAAGTTCTGGAACCTCGTGGGCTAGAAGATATGTATGGATTGAAAATAGACCGTAATTAGTGGCAGGATTGCATGGCGCTGTTTCGTTGGTGGCTAGGAGGAAATTATCTTGCAAGTTTGGTGCTGTCGGTGCTGAGATGAAGCAGCTGTTAGGAACATTCCTAGAAACCTTTTTAAGAAGCTGTGAAACAGCATGTCTTGAATTCCATTACCGGCAGTGATTCCGTACCTTCTATGTAAATTGCACCGAGGAAAGAAAAGACTCGTTTCAATCCAGGTCCAGGCGAGGGTCATATTCGTGGGCACGATACCGTGTACGGAAGTTTTGAAAAAAAAACAAATGAGACCCTGTAGTAGCGATTGAACAGCTCTGTACTTGCTATTTTTACAGTAATTACTGTTCGTTTTAACATCAACAATACAAATCACGACCTGTACATTTTAAAACAGGTAAACAAACACAGGCACGGCACATTCTACCCTTTTACTCACAAAGGCTGTCCAGTGCTCAACGATCCCTCCACCTTGTAGCAGAACAACCTGTCCACTATGGAAGAAATGGATTCCTGGACTTGCTGTCCTTGGTGGCTTTCTTGTACGAGCTGTGCGTGTGCACATTCCAAGGAAGAAAGACAGCACGGTGACCTTTCATTAGCATGGCATCGACACTGCCTACATGGAAACGGCTCAGCAAGGAAATCACGATGGCACCTTTTGTGTGCAGTGCGAGCGATGGGACAAGGGGGGCGCAAGCAACATGAGGCGGTGCGAGTGGAGCTCAGCTTACTATACAAGGCAGGATGTGCCAAGTGAGACGGTGCCGAGCACGAGGAGCACAAATGGCAGCGCTACAAGCCCATGGTGAGACATGCTGCCCCGGGGCACCGCACTGCCGTGAAGCACACCGCTTCCCGCCCCCCCTGCCATTCCTGCTGCTCTAGCCGTGCTAGCCGTAGTGTGAGCAGAAGAAGGAGAGGAAGGAGAGGAGCGTCTTCTCATCGGGTGATATCTGGCCGGACCTACAAACACGGAGGTGAGAGGAGGACAACGGACGTAGGGTTATTGTTACAACGTGTCAAAAGCAAGAAGCGGCTAAAAGCGGATGTAGTCATAAAAATATACATAGGAGGAGAAGCCACGAGGGGACAAATGAAACGAGGAGAGAAAACAGGTGGCATGCGGTGCCATTCTATCAAGAGCATGGAACTCACGAGTGGCCAACAAGTGGTATGCCTCGAGGATCTGCACCCATAGGGAGGGGCGCACACAGTAATGCACATGATTGCATGGCCAGACACACACACGCACGCACGCACGTGCACACACATACGGGTGAAAGGCAAGGGCATGCAATGACCATTCTGGACCTATGCAAGACATGCAACATTCAAGTAGGTATTCCGGTTGTAAGAATCAGAGGAGGAGAGGAACAAAGAAGCTGGCAACCTACCTCACCTCCACCCCCCCTTCGCCTTCCTCCACTTCATCCTCCCACGTTCTTTTACAACCATCTCCTCCCCTCCCTCACCCACCCTCCCTCCCACCCATTTACCCCCCTCCCACCATATTCCCATTTCCTCGCGCACCTTTTTGAACTCCGCCTCGGCCTGGCCGCGCATGCCGGGCGGCACCACATCTGGGTGCGTGCGCTTGGCCAGCCGGTGGAAAGCAGCCCGCACCTGTGGGCCGGGTGGGAACGCGCGCCACGGATTCGGGACGCGTGGGGGGAAGGGCGCAGGAGGAGGCGAGGGTGAGCGGACAGGAGGATGTACCAAAGGTGGGGGAAAGTAGTCGGATAAAGGCGGACCGCACTGCGGGCGGAGGGATAAGGGGAGAGGGCGCGCACGCGCGGAAGGGAGATGCGAGCGCGGTGGCAAAAGCGGAAGGGGCGGGGGCACAGGCGCAGCTGTATAGAGGCGTGCGGGACGACGCACTTAAACGAGCGCGGAGGGCGACGTGACGAGGGGCGAGGCAGTATGGACAGCTAATGGGGAGGCATGACTGGTTCCGAGTGTGGCAGCGAGGCGGGCAGTAGATGCACGGATGGAGGCCGACAGGGGTCGAGGGGATACAAGCGTGGACCAGCGAGGGCGATATGCAGTTCGCGCGGCATACGGGCGCGGCTGGTGGGGGTGGTCCGTGGAGCAGCAGACCTTGACAGCAGGCCTTAGCAGCAGGCCTGGGCGGGGAGGGCGGTACGGGGCAGGCGGAAGGATTTTTGTGGCAGCGACGTGCGCGCTCACTCACCTCGTCCCGGCTGTGCGCGCCGTGCGTGAGCCCCAGCGACCGCAGCGCGTCGCCGTACCGCATGGCGCGCAGCACGCGCACGCGCACGCACGGCGCGGCGCGGCGCAGGACGCTACGTGAGAATATAAGCCTCACGGACCATGCAGAATGAAGGACCGAATCCGAGTGCGGAGCAGAGTCGGCAGATAGAAGCCAGCGTTGGAAAGAGAGCCCTAACTACCAACGATGCCTTGCTTCCGTTGCACGGCCCGTCGCCTCCGATTTCCAGTTATTATACCTGGACAAGAAGCAAATTCATTTTGTTTAAGGGGGATTTACTGTTCCTTTTGAACAGTACTTTCCCGTATGTCTCAACCAAATGGGGTCCAACGGTGGTCTACCACCGTCGACCTGACCGACGGGCAGAAAAAAACTAAAACCCCATCGGATGGCATGCCATCCGAGGGAGGCATCTGTTGGGCTGAATGCCCCTTAGGATCTTTGGTAGGATGAAACTCTGGGTAAAGTGATGTGGTAGCGGAAGCGTTTAATGATGAGACTCTGAACCACCTTGTACTAGTGTGTGAGAACAAAGTGAGTTGATTAAGGCATGCAAGTACAGAGTTTTATATAAGAGTACAAGGAGTACGAAGAGCTACGGTTGTAACTACGTTTACTGTTGCTGTTGCGGTTCGATACAGTGACGACTCGGGCAACTGCTCAATGTCGAGTCAGTTGTGTGTCCTTGCTGTCGCGCTGCATTTGTCAAGTCAAAGGTCGCTGCCCTTTGACCTTCGCGTAACCTCCAACGGTTACTTCAATCTCCGAGGGTTGACTCGCTGGTGCCTCGATATGATTTGCTTTGCTTGTGCCTTGGTGTTTCGACACGATAGAAGCGCTTTAGGACCTATTGTTTCCAACACTCCCCTTCGCTTCTGGAGTGTCGCTGACGTGGCTCTGTCCAGTCAGCAGCATGCAGTATTCGAACTTATGCTTTCCGAGTTTCTTGGTCAAGTAGTCAGCTGCCATCTCGGACGTGGGACAGTATGACAGGACGAGTCTTCCCTTCTCGATCTCGTCCTTCACGAAGAAATATCGCAGGGCGATGTGTTTCGTTCTGTTCGCGAAGCCGTTCTTGTTGGCGATGCGGATTGCAGATAGGTTGTCGCAGAAAAGGGTGAAGTTGGGTAACTCGGCTAACTTCGCCTCTTCTAGCAGTTCGCGAAGGTAGAGTCCTTCCTTGGTGGCTGAGCAGAGTGCAATATATTCTGCTTCAGCTGACGAGAGAGCAATTAGTTCTTGCTTGCTCGATTGCCAGGAGATAGGCCTGATAGGCTCGAAGCGATAGACATAGCCGGTGCGCGATCGTCTGTTGTTGGAGTCGCCCGCGTGATCTGCGTCGACGTAACCGATTAGCTTAGGTGGTGCAGTTGCATTCTTATGGTAGGTCACGCCGACCGTCGGGGTGCTGACGAAGTAGTGAAGAGCACGGTTGAGTTCCGTCAGATGCTCTGCTTCAGGCCTTTTGAGATAGGTAGCGAGCTGGCTTGCGGAGTATGAGAGGTCGGGACGACAGGTGACGCCTGCGAAGAGTAGGCATCCCAGCTTCTTCTGGTAGTCTCGTATGCCGGCGGGTTTGAGTAGGGCGGAGCCTCCTTTGTCGTTCCCTGCCGTGTAGCGATATGGCGTGGAGATGGCCGCTGGTGTGATCGTAAAACGTTTGGCGATAGTGTCGGCGTATTTTTCGGCGCTGAGGTAGATCGCATTCTCTTCTTCGCGGATGTTGAGGCCGAGGTACTGAGTGACGGTAGATGAGATTGTGAGCGTGAGATCTCGTTGCAGCTCCCCTTCAAACCAGGTAGTGATGCCGTCAGTCGAGCCGATGTAGAGAAGATCATCCACGTAGACGATTAGCAGAATGTAGTCTTCGTCTTTAGTGAGCCGGTACATGCCTTAATCGTGCGGTAGTTGACTGAAGCCGATGCGGATGAGGCGAGCGTGCAGGTGCTGTTGCCACAGTCGCGGGGCCTGCTTGATGCCGTCGAGTGACTTGAGTAGCTGGCAAACTTGGTTGGGTTCTCCGTGGGAGCTGTGTGGTAACTCAACAAAGATTTCGGCATCAACAGGTGCGTAGAGGAATGCGTTGGCGACGTCGATTTGCCGCAACTTCTTTTTCTTCATGGCCGCGATCGCGAGGATGATTCGAAGTGAGGTATGTCGGCTAACCGGGGCGAATGTCTTGGTGAAGTCCCGTCCGTGCTCTTGATCGAATCCACGCACAACCCAGCGTGCTTTGAACTTCTCAATTGTGCCATCTGCTTTTGTTTTAACGCGGAAGACCCATTTTCCGGTGAGGATGGTTTTGTTCCTCGCCACGCTGATGGGGACGACTTTCCAGGTGTTCCGGTCCTCCAGCGCCTTTAACTCTTTGTCCATGGCTTCACGCCATTTCTCCCTGTGTTCCCCCCCAAGAGCCTGCTGAACCGTCGCAGGCTCCTTAGGAAGAGCGTCGCCGTGGACTGCGGTGACGAGGCCGAGTATCAGTAGTCCAGTTTGTGAGTAGTGGGGAAGATTTGCGTCCTCGGGATAAGCTGCTTCATCTGCCGCTTCTGGATCGGGTTAGAAACTTGGTCCTACTCGTTCTGCTTCGTTGGTGTTGACTGTCGCAGGTGTTACGTAACCGTTGTCGGCGAAGTAGTAGAAGGTTTCGGCGTTGACACTTTCACGAGGGTTGTCGTCGTCCATGGGAACGTCGACGTAGCAGAACGGTAGAGGTCCGGCTTCTTCTGACGCGCTATCGACATTCTGCTCGTCCCAGTCAGCTTCGTCTTCTGCGGAAGCGAAGGCTCGGTTGCCACGGAAACCACCTGTGGGATCTTGGTCTTCTTGCAGGTTGGCAAGGTATGTCTGGAGTGTGAGTCGTTCGTAGAAGATGACGTCGCGTGCTGCTACTGTTTCCTTGGAGTGGACGTCGAAGATTTTCCATGCGTTGTAATTCTTTTCGATGCCGAGGTGTAGTCCCCACTGTGCGCGTTGTGAAAATCTTCCCGCTCGCGCTGCTGGGGGTCGGTACTGTTGTCAAGAAACTAGCGTGACTTAGGAGCCATGGCTAGTGAGTTCGAGTTGAAGTAAAAAGTATCGAGAGAATGAGAGGTTTCACTATAGGTTCAAGGGTACAAATAGGCAAGAATGAAGAAAGGCAAATGGTACACCACCTAGCAGGAAACTAAGATAACTACACTAGGCTACTGTAGGCATTTATATAAAAGTATACAAATACATTTCAACACACCCCCTAAATGCCTACAGTGGAAACCCGTGTGTAGCACAAAGTCTGCAGGGGTACAAGGTGCAATGGAAGAAACAGAAACAAGCAAGAGCAGTAGTAGCTGGAAGTGGTGACAACCAGTGCAGAAAGAAGAGAGAACAGAAGGGAGAGAGGAGGAATGAGGAGGCGGCTGCGGCTGGTGCTGAAGCCACGCTCCCACCACCCCCTCACCCTCCCCCTCCCCCTCCCCCTCCCACTGCTGCAGGAGCAGCAAAGGGGGGGGGGGGGCAAACAGAGGAGGATGGGGCCGTAAGGCAAGGGGACCACACATCACCCATCACCCCCACACCCGCCACCCCCAGGCCCTCCCCGGGCTCCCCACACTCACACACCCCCCCCCCAGCAGCAGCTGCAGCAGAGGGAACAAGAGGAGGAGGAGAAAGGGGGGGGGGGAAGGGGGGGGGGGGGGGGGGGGGGGGGGGGCGACGCACGGCCTCCCCGGGCGCCAAAGCAAGCGGCAGAGGGGGCGACGACTCCCCCCCCCTTACAGGTCGCGGCCCCCGAAGGAGCCGCGACAGGTGACGGGAAGAAGGGGGGGGGCGGGACCGCAAGTGGGCGGTGCCGAAGTGGGCGTCGGGGCCGCAGGTGACATCGGGGCCGGGGCCGAGGGCGGCGACGGGGCCGCAACAGAGGGCGGCGGGGCCGCAAATGTGGGGACGGGGCCGAAGGTAGGGTGGCGAGACGGCCGCAGGTAGGGCGGCGGGTAGGCCGCAGGTAGGGCGGCGGGACGGCCGCAGGTAGGGCGGCATGTGGGCCGCGACGGAGTGGCGGGGCCGCTGGAAGGAGTGGCGGGGCCGCGACGAAGTGGCGGGGCCGCGCGAAGGGGAGGCGGGGCCGCGACTAAGTGGCGGGGCCGCTCAAGGGGTGGCGGGGCCGCGACGAAGTGGCGGGGCCGCTCGAAGGGAATAAGGGGCACGCCACGGGGCGTGCCAAACACAGAGTAGCAGCGGAAGCTTTAAAGTGGGGCCCACAGGTCAGGACCTTGTCACTCTGATAGCATGTCAAGAAACTAGCGTGACTTAGGAGCCATGGCTAGTGAGTTCGAGTTGAAGTAAAAAGTATCGAGAGAATGAGAGGTTTCACTATAGGTTCAAGGGTACAAATAGGCAAGAATGAAGAAAGGCAAATGGTACACCACCTAGCAGGAAACTAAGATAACTACACTAGGCTACTGTAGGCATTTATATGAAAGTATACAAATACATTTCAACAACTGTACCATGCATCCGAACACTCGTAACATTTTTGTGCTGCCATGTTTCCCTGTCCACAGCAGATGCGGTGATGCGTTGTTCGGGAGCGATGATGACGACAGCAAGTTGTGCAGCATGACAGCGTGGTCCATTGCTGCAGGCCACTGGTGGTTGGGTAGCCGCATGCCACGCAACAGTTTGCGCATGCTGTTCTGCAGAGTCCTGTTCATTCTTTCTACTACACCTTGCTGTTGATGGGCGTAGGGAAGAGAGAGGAGCTGCTTGATGCCTCTTTCCGCTAGGTACTGCTTGAAGCGTTGAGAGGTGTATTCTCCTCCTCCGTCTGACTGGAGGCTTTTCAGCTTT